AGGGATTTTATAGAAATAAGCATGTTTCAATTATAAGATTCGCGTATCATCCAATATTATATGACTTTGAAATTTATGTCTCAAGTAATAAAAAAAGAGATTTTTTAAGTAATCATATAAAAACACCATTTAAAAACCACACGTATTTGCATATATGCAATTCTCTGAAAACAAAAACTTAAAAAATGATTCCCCAAATAATTCTAACGACTAAAAACGCTAAAATCTTATCTTATTAATACAAATTTTTCGGTTATAGTTTTGCTTTATTTTTAAATAAAATATTAATAAATTAAAATTAGTGGTGATGAAATGATGTATAATTTTCAAATGATTCAAACATTTGTAGATTATTCAACACTTAAATATAATGTCAGTAGTAAGCTAACTTTCATGAAATGTTTCTGAGCTTAAGACAATTTCTTAAGGGAAGAAAAATAAATTTGATCTTAAATCTATGAAATTAAAATTGATTAAAATTTTCGGTTGAACCTTTCCGTTTTCTTTGCGTTACTATTTAAAGCTCAGAGGCATTTTTAAATTTAGATGTAATGATTAATCTTGCAAACAATATAGCAAAACTACACAAACTCAGATTTTTAATTAAAAAAGAATTTTTTTTCAAATCTTATTTGTGTGATATTACGTAAAATTTATGTGCTGTTTGTATAGATTATTAACTTTGCTAATGTTACAGAAAAAATTTAAATCAAACCAAACTTTTTTAAATGAAAAAAATGCATATTTATAAGTCCCTTATCTATATATGTCTGTTACTAAAGAAAATTTTATATGGTGCTGCAAATTAAAATATATTTAAACGCTATTAATATTGTACGTAGTTTTTCACATTCCATTTTTTAAAATGGAAAAAGAAAAAACATGAATTTATTCAAAAATCTTTCATCGCGTCTTTGTGTTATTGTTTAAAATTTAAATTTTGTTTGAAATTTGCATGAAACGTTTAAATGCAATACAGCAAACTTTCTTCATATATTCAAAACCCAGATATATTCGTTTAAAATTCTTAAATTCCTCCATCTCTAAATTTGTTAATTACTATTTAAAATTTATACTTACATAAACGTTTAAAAATTTCTAATAATATTATAGTAGTGATATAAATTTTTCAAATAATAACGGATTGTACATTTATTTGAACTTTCTTATCATGAATTCCGGGTGGCAATATTACTAATGCATTTGAATGCTTTACGTGCAACTTATGCATGTCATACTTTTACTGAATATGCATGAACTAGGCGTACTAATATTAGTACTCCATATGCATGAATATCAGTAAATATTTATTTACCTACCACTTTATAACTGCGCATTTTAGGAGAATTTATCCCAAACATTGAACCAGCTTTCATTCGACATACACCACTTTCAGTCGTGGTCTAACAACATTACAGGCTCACACATGTTTCTAAAAGTTTTTTTTCCACTTATTTTAGTGATGCAGTATTCATAGACAACTCTCAAATGGGGAAAAAGCGTAGGGGGAAATAGAGCAGTAGCTGTGGGAGAGGGAAAATTTGTTCTATCACATATACTTTTGATATAAAGATTCTCGTATGCTTTTAAGATATAAAATTTACGCATGTGACAGTAAAGGCGTGTTTGAAGCCTGGAATATGTAAAATACGTATCGCTTTTTACTTTGTAAACCTACATATGTTCATAGATATATGCGTTTAGTATGTATAAACATAGCTTTTGCCTATATAAGGTATAAGTCATAAAACATGAATTGAGATATATCAAAAAGACTCAAACGATTATAAAATATGAAATAGAAGAATATGTAAAGACTTTCTATTTGGCGATCAGGTTAAATATGTTTATGCAAATGCAAACTCAAAATAAATGCATAAATAGATATTTTAAAAACATTCACGGAGGGAAAAAATATGGTCAAAACAATCAGAATATGGTAACATTTATCGTGTTTCTGGCATAATTAGGACACCAAAATTTCTGTCATTTTTAGAGAACCATGACTTTTGGTAAAATTAAGAATAAAATATGGTTTTATTACTACGCTATTTGATAGTAAATGTGGTAAAATTTGGTAATATTTTCATGATAATTTAAATCATGCCATAAAAACCATTTATTTGATTAAATTGACTTTTCAGTTTTGTATTTTTACCAAATTTGTGGTAATATGAACTATAATTTTGGAAACCAGAATGTTCGGTAAAATGTTACCTTATGAATGGAAAAAATTACCAAATGAATAGTTTTAATATTGTGTATTTTGGTTTTATTACCAAAATTATGTTTTTTTTGTAATTTTTATTTTTTTAACTAAAAATTTTACAAGTACCATAATTTTGCCAAAATTTTTTTTCGTTGTGTATATTGTGTATGTTGCATTATGATTTTAATTAGCTCTTATCGCTGAGAAACGTAAATGATGAATTTTGATTTGCAAACAAAAATTTTCATATTTAAAATAAACTTTGAATTATTTGAATTTAAGACATTAAACTTATTATTTAACCTAATATTTTTTTTCTTTTTGAATATTGTATATTAATATTATATTTGATTAATTATTGTTAATTTTTGACCATAAACTCTATACTTTTTGGAACTTATCACCTTATTAATATTTTGTTTTTGCATTTTATTTAAGGAAACGATCTTTAGATCTATAATTAAAAGTTACATTTGAACAGTTTGACTTAGCATTAATAGTAGCTTCATTTTGCAAGTCAAACTAGAAAGATGATCAATATTTCAAATTTTATTGGTTATTTCTTACATATTTTTAATTATTAATACAATAATATAACGCCTGATATATTTAAATAATTTATGTATTTCAATAAAGGTTGATATATTTAAACAGTACTTAACATATTTGAGCAAAACGTAACGAATTTAACAAAAAAGGTACTTCAGTGAAATAAATTACTTATTTAAATATTTGAAAAATTTTCTGTGTCGAAATTTTTAAAAGAAGCTTAAAATTTTCGACATCTCTGCTTCAAAATTCTTTTGTTTTACACCGATTGCAATTTTTACAATTTTTTTTTACTTAAATTAATCTTAGCAACTCTGAATCTCTAAGTTTATTTTTATAAGCACATTTCAGCATTTAGCTTAATTAGAAATAAATTTCAATTATCGATTGAAAGTTTGCTTTTTTTTTCATTCACCAATTAACCTTATTCAATACTAACAAGTCATTAGCTTTCTGTTTCTAATCAGTTCTTTTCAGTGAATAAAATCATACGTTAACGCGTTCCCAAAACGTTAACGAGTTCGTAAAACGGTAACGCATAGCTGTATTTATCAATAAAAAACATTTTTATGAATAGACTTTTTGTCAGAAAAAAAACTAAAAAAAACTGAGCGATAAAAAATGAAGTTTTTGGTGGAAAAAATTAATGACTTATTGAAAACTTAATTGCTATGCAGAAGTCAGGGGTAAAATTCATTGATCTGCGTGAATTAAGTAAAAAAAAGTCTACATTCCTGCTTTTGTAAGCTCGAATGATTAATCGCAAAATAATTTAGCTTTTTTCTCAGTAAGAATCTATCGTTAACAAATAAATTCTTAACGCATTTAAGGATTAATTCTGAAATTGATGTTACTAACGAAGCATACGATTTTGATGGTTGCTGGAAATACATAATTTATGCATTTTAGCTAAGAATTGTCTCATAATTATAATGAGTAGATTTGATCATGGGGATTTTTGTTCGTTGTTAGGGAAAATAATTAATATGACGGAAATATGGACTTTCTATTGTAAAAAAAAAAACTGCGTTGTACAGATGGCAATGATGTATTGTTTCTGGTGTTTTGGTTAGGCGAAAAGTTGTAAAAAATTTGTCCTCTAAAATCGAGATTAAGAAATTAGTTTGATAAATTATTTATAAAATGCTGTTTGATTAACGATACAGCTAAAAATAAATCTAGCAACTATTAATAATTAAAAGTAATATCGATTTTCTTCTAAAATGTCATTCTGAACTATTACTTGTCTAACTAAATTTATAAAATTTGGAAATATTAATTCACTTAAACATTCATAAAAGTACGTAAATTTTGACTTAACATGATTTTATTAATTGCAAATAAAATTTTCAGTCTAAAATTTTATTGACTAAAAAGTTATGTATATGAAAGTAACATAGATGGTTTTTGATCAGTCATTAAGTTGCAAACCAATAAAATATATTGATTCAGGATGGATTTTTTGCATGACCATCAAACAAATCCATCAAACCATGATGGTTTTGCTCATATTTGTCCAACATAAATTTGTTCCAATTCCTAACAAGGGTTGATGGCCCGTCTTGGTGATACTATTAAGAATTAGGATGGGATTTAATGGACTCTTTTATAACGATAACCATCTTGTTTATGATGGTTCATCATTAAAAAATATTCAAAACGTTTGTCTTAAGCGTGTAGAGCTTGATTCCTAAATTTATTATCAGGAACCAAGTGTTAGGAACCCTATTTATTGTTAGGAACCCTATTAGTGCTAAAGTAGCAAAATCAAAACAGCTGAAGTATTTTCTTTGTTAAGTTCGTAAGTTTAGAAAACACGTTGCAAAAATAGTAAAATTGATGAAAAATTTAAAATTAGTAATTATTTGTAGCAATATTTAAAAGGTTTTAATGAAAAAATTCTCTTACAATTAATGAAAAAATCAGAGACAAATCGAAAGAAATTTTCAGAGGAAGTCATAGATCCACATTGGGCTGTCAGGCCAACTATGATTTAAAAGAAGAGATTAAAATTTCAAATTTGTGCTCATTGAAGTTTGCATTAAAATCTGTATTCAAGCTTGCACAAAAATTTGTATTCATTAAACTAGCAACCAAACTTTTTCTATCCAGAGCCAATTAAGTTATTAAACTCTTATTTTTTTTTATCTTTATTTATATTTATTAGCTAAGGGATAAAATGTATATTCAGTGAAGTAATTTTTGATAAAATGATTAAATGTAAGAGTGCAAAATATCTTACCTATGTGCCCATTTTCGTACCCAGGGTATTCACCGTCCATTCTTGATTTTTTCAGAAGCATACTGGGATTGGTTCCATTATGATTTATGCCAACCATCGTTGCTCGCTTCGGTGGCCTCCCGGGCCTACAAGAATAACAAATGATACCTCTAAATAAAGTCAAAAATATAATGTATTCTATGAATTATTTCTTATCAAGAAACTATGAATATATTTCTAGATTATTACAGATAAAAATTTATGCTATTAAACAATCTTATAAACTGAAAATATTAATTAATTACTAATGACACTTCACTAAAGATACCTCTAAATCTCAATATCAGTAATGATATTTCTATTATATTCCCTAATCTATAATATTTCTATTATAAAATGCGATCTATGAACTAATTGTACCAAAAATATATGAGTACGAGTTGAATTCTATGTATTATATCTTTAAAATATTTTTTAAAAAAATCTATATATTCTATGAGTATTGGCGATAAACAATTTAAATACAATTAGAGAATATTATATATTAGCAAGTAATTGTGATAAATATATATAAATTCAAAAATACAATCTCTATGAACTGTACAAAATGTATAGTTGTTTTATTGTTACCATTTATATATTACAATATTGCATGTAAAACAGTTAAAAGATCTTTCTTTAAATGTAATATTTTATCCTATAAGTGGTGATAAAATGGTTTATAGATACGAAAAATACAGCTCAAGAGTCAAACAAATAGTCATAATAGTTGTCCTAATGAAATTGAGTTAATTGGTTTGATAAAATATTTATTTAAACAATGCAAATGCTGAATGATTGTACGATCGGTTATTAAACTGGCATATTCGATTTATAAAGTAAGTCTTACAAATTTAATTGCTAATTTTTGTGATTTTGTTTTGCATGAAGTTTTGTCAACCGTAAGGGATTAAACAGATGGGATTAAGAAGGGGCTAAAAATGATGGTCGTTAATTTGAATGCATAAAATCATATAACAAGTTAATATCACAAAAATTGCAAGAGGTAAGAAAACTCACTTTTATTTACAATATCGTTTCCCTAAGAAAATAACACTTATTTAACAATTTATTAAATAGCGAAATACACAGATAAAATATTAAATAAAACAGGTTTATTTTTCTTTTAAGAGAAACCTTTAAAAGAATTAAAACTCTTTTACTACCTAAATTTAACGCAAACTTTGAGTTCTAAATCTGAATCATTTTTCTTCAATTTACAAGTCTTAAGCTTAATTTTCCTTCAGAAAGCAGTTAACGAAATAAACGAAGAAAACGAAAAAGACGAGATAAACTTTCAGCACGACATACACTTAAAAGTTCGAAATAGGATATGTATCGCTAGTTCCAAGATCCGACAACAAGTGTCTGATGCATTTCCATAACAACCCCTACTATTTATTTTAGTAATTATTCCAGGCGAGGATAAATAGCTTACCAACTGATTAACTCGCCAAATCTGACAGCCGATTTTTAACGACCCGCCTCTGAGTAACGCTATATCGCAGGTATTGCAGGGGCGAAAATTGCCTAACTTGCCATCATTCATCAAGTACGAGAACTCTTCGCCATTTAATTTTTTTTTTCACCCTATCCTCTTTCTAGGTTCTCCTCGAATCTTCTAACTGTCCCATAACTTTGTAAACGGAACCAACAAGTGCTTCCGACGTGATATAATGAGCCAGACAACAACGAGCTTTAATCGCCGTGCGTGATTTAAGATGGGCGACTTGTAAGATCTTCCAGTTGGAACATAAGGACTTCTTCTCATCCGCCTATTTCCGTAACTGGAGACATGGCAAGATGCATCTTTTGTCTCTCTTTTAGCTCATTACCAGCCAAACAAACTTTTGACGAATGATGGAACATACAGATAATAAGCCTCAACTACGAGCTTCAGAACTTAATAGCTTAACAAAGAAGACACGCTCTTTTCGATACACATCCAGTTCAACATTATTAACTTAATTTCGCTGTCAGGCATGGCCTTTTTGAAAGAAAGCCTATCTTCGCTCTTCGCCTGATTGCAGGCAACGAAAGAATACTGCTACGTGGAACTAGGAGAGAGAAAAAAAAAATGGCAAATTTTATTGGTAAGCAGACGTGCGCGATTGGGTTTATGCGAAGGACATCGTGTAAGGATGTAGTTCTTTTCGTTTTGAACCCTCTACCACCACCATCGGAAGGCATAAATCTTTCATGGAAGAATACAAATTGCGTTTCAGAATTTGAGAACTTGTTGCTCTGAAAAGCGTGCAAGCGAGTTTAGCACAAGGCAGGACTTTTCAGTAATTGGCAATATCTTTGTCGGCATAAAAGGGTTTGCGCCTCAATTTTGTTTTTTTGTTTAGATATTTTTTTTTTCGCCGAGTATCCTTTTTCGTGCAAGTCATCTCATCTGCATAGTGGTAATTTCGTTTTCTCGCCGAATCGATTTCTTTCTATGAAATTGGCGAATAAACTAGACTCGCCAATGCAAGCTCGCAGGTATACAATTTACCCTTTCGTAACTTTTTCTGCCGATACAATTTCAAGACCCTTTTTTCTTCTCAATCTAAAGATATGATGAAGAAAAGGGGGGTGCTCGAAGAAAAAAAAATGAAAATGTAGTCTTGATATGTGTACATTTTTATTTATTTTTTCTTGTTTATGACGTCGGTTAAGGGATGGGAGTAAATTGAAATCGCTCCACCCCTTTTCCCGTTTTTCTGTTAGATTGCATTGAAAACAATAGGCTTAACGTTTTTCCGTATTATCTTCTTGTTTTAGCATTTCATATTCTTTTATCCTGCTGGTTTGCTTGGTATAAGTTACCTTTTTCTTATATAATATTACTTTTTTTTTTATTCTGGAATTTTTTTCTCTTCCTTTCTTCACTTTTCGATTTTATGGATCGACTACTTCCTCAAAAGAAAAGCTGAGGATTTTCTCAGATTTTCTTGACGGTTTAGCAAGCGCGTGGAAAGAAAGAATAGGATATTTTTTTCTCCCACTTCACTTAGTTTTATCGATATTCTTGCACAAGATTGATTTTTCTTTATGCATATATTTTCTCTAAAAATTTACAACAATACGTAATGTTCGATGAGTCAAAACAAATTTCTTAAAAATGTATAAAATGCATATGCAAATAGTTTTTTTTTTTCTTTTATGATAATTAAGATATATTTAACGTTTTACATTGTGAATATTTTATCTGTTACTTTGTGAATACTTTCGTTTTAAAACCAAGTTGCATTTACTAGTTATAAGTTATACAACACATAAATATAAGGTATTTTAGTTAAGTAAGATGTGAGTTGTTACTTGAACTAAGTACTTTTATAACCATATTTTAATTGTTTAGCTTTTATTTAACTTTATAGAAATCCTCAAATTAAATATATTCCACTTTATTATAAATTATATTCCGCAGATGAAAAGTTATATGACAAATATAAAATAAGTATTTTAGCATAGTCTGTTTACATGTAATAAGAGTTATCCAACCTGGCTCCTGACCTGGGCCCCTAGGAGCCGGGGAGGGGGTTAGAACAATAATGATAGCGAACTATAACTCAGTTAAAACAATTGCTTATCTAAGCATTTAAATACGTACCACAAAATTAATAATAACCTGTTTAGATGCCGTGTGACCAACCTTGTAAAAAAATGTATTAAAACGCATATACGAAAAAAACAGTAATAAAATGTAAACGGATATCACAAAATAGGTTTGAAAGCAACAGAAGGTGAAAATGCATAAAAGTGTGACTAAATCTGAAATACAATTGCTTGCAGATCCATAAAAACACAGTTACAAGCTGTTTTGTTTCCTTCGTCTTTTACAAAACCGTTAGGCATCCAACAATGAAAACTTGAAAGGGATTAAAGGAAGTTTTAGTATCATCCTTGCTGGAGGTCTGGCTTTATTGGCGACATTTTACGTCTGGTTTTATTTGTCTTAACGATAACTGGGGCATTGTTTTATTTATTTCAGCACCTGCACTTTCAGTTTTATAATAAAAATTTAAATTTTTTTTCTGAATTTTGTTGGAGTTTTGAGATGGTTTTAGCAATTGCGAATTTTCTTGCAGGACAAAAGTGACATATACTAATTTGATGACAATTATTTGCTTATATTCTACAAAAAAAAAACCTCTAGAAACTTATGAGGTAAATATTTGTGAAAAATTAAAATTCTACAGCATACTTCAATTCTTACAATAAATAATGCAGGGAAGTAGTTTAGATTCTTGTCTATAGAGGGCCAAGATAACTTTCAACCACTATGATGTCACTACTGGTTTTCAAACTTATTTTTTCCTTTTATAAAACAATCCACATTACGTTATGGAATCATCATCATCATCATAAATGGTCAGACTGCCCAATGTAGGCCAATGCCTTCCTCTGAAGATTTCTCCATAACGGCGTCCTATTTATCTTTAATCTGCAATTATTTTCATTAATTGCAAGAAAATCAGACTCCACCGAATCAACCCATCTCAAAAACGGCCTTCCCCGCCTTCTTGTTCCAGTGGGTCAAGACAAAATCTTTTTATTAAATTGTCATCACTCATTCGAATCACGTGGACCATCCAATTCATTCTCTTTATTCTTATGTATTTAATAATATCAACTTGTTTATAAATTACTGTTCAAAATTGAATCTCTTTCTCCAGTTATTATTTTCATCTACATCACCGAGTATACTCAGCAAAATCTTTCTCTGAAATAATGAGATACAATTTTCCTCCAGTTTTGTCACTGTCCAAGCTTCAGAAGCATATGTCAAAACAGGCCTGGCAAGAGTTATGTAAATTAAGAACTTCGATTTTATGAAATCATATAGGGATTATTTCGTGAATTGTTACAGTAAGTATTAAATTTACAGTAAATATGATTGTCACCCGCCATGAGTGCTGATACTATTTTTGTGTTATAATGTAAATGTTCAGCAATATTTTTTAAAGTGAGGAACATAATCTAAAAACTATAGTCATAATTATTCAAATGATGTATATAAAAACGTTAATTATTTTATGACCATTGTACAGATCTTATTAAAAGAGAACTATAATTGTATCCTATTTAGACTTCTGTTACTTAAAAGTAAGAATAAAGC